GCTAGATGTCATTCCTCTGTGTTGCCTTCCACATGCTAATGGCTCAGTGAAGCCCTGCCACCCCAACAGGGCACGAGTGCCTTATTGGCACAATGCATCACAGTGACAAGGTGTTTGGATGATGTATCGCTTAAAAGATGAAGCCATCGGAGAATGAGCCCAAGATCAGATTAAATTTAATTATGGGATCAAAGCATTCACATCTGTCGTCCTGGTGATGAATTAACTGAGGGAAAGGATGTCAGGCCCTGGGAACAGGAGGCAGAGGAAGAGGGAGACGCACCAATGGGGCCCGCAGAGGAGAGGGCACCGCGCCTGCCCCAGCCTGCCCCTTCGAAAGCCCCCAGGACGGAGCCTGCAGCCACCCTCAGAGCCTCATGGCCACGCACACCTGGGCACGTCACGCCGTAGCTCCTGGCTGTTCCAAAGCCTGCTCATGAGCTCCCCAGGGCACGTCACCCAGATCCCTTTCCGGGTCACACCTCTGTCATGGCACCAGCTCTTGGAAGCTGCCATCCCCGGCTCAATGAGGAGGCTGTGTCAGCACCTGCTGGGACGTCTCCAGTGTGCACGTGTGAGTGCAGAGGTGACTCCCTTGAATGCCCCCCTTCAGTGGGTCCTCTGCTGGCTGTGTGTAATGCATGGGGCTCAGGGGACCTAAGATGACGGAACTGCTCCGTGTCTGAGGTGAATCACCTGACTGCACGTTCTCTTGCAGAACTAAAGCTGCATGGTGGTGTGTGCAGCGCCTACTCTGGTGGCAGAGACAGGAGGGTCACTTCAGCCCAGTAGCTTGGGGTCAGTCTGGGCAACACAGCAACACCCCCCTCTCAAAAAAATGGCCTAAGTTTACATTATACAGAGTACATTTTATTTTAAAAAAATTTAAAACCTTGGAGACTGAGGCAGGAGAATCCCTAGTTCAAAGCTAGCCTCAGCAACTTAGCGAGACCCTGTGTTAAAATAAAAAAATTTAAAAAGGGCTGGGCATGTGGCTCAGTGGTTAAGCACCCCTGGGTTTGATCCCTGGTACCAAATAAATAAATAAAAATAAAAACCCAGTTATATAAAAACTGAGGTAATGTTATAAATCTTTTAAAGATTAAGCTGGGACACCAGGCATAGACTGGACATGCCCCAGACTAGCAGAGACAGAGCCGCTCCCTCTGATGTCTAACCCAGACCTGTCCTCAGTAGACTCGTGGCCAGCAGCAGGTGGCTATGAAGGCAAAGTCCTAGGAGATGCTGGATAGGACCTCGGGGCCCGGTTTCAGCTGTCTGGGACTGCAGTCGGGAGCCATGTGTGTGATGAGTACCCAGGTGGCTCGGAGTCTGTGGACACATCTGAGCTGCTGGACGGGAAGCCCTGGCCCTTCGTCCTGACACTGTGTTCTCCATCCCTGTTCCTGTGACTGCCTGGGATCCCTGCCTGCCACCTCAGCCATGTTCCATGAACGCGCCCTGAGCTCCCTGTCTCTGCACCCTGCTCTTTACAGTCCAGAGGCAAATGCGTCCCCTGTGCTGGTCTAAGCCTCCCTGCAGTGCCCAGCGTGGGCTACAGCACAGTTTGGGGATCACGGATACGAGATGTTCCCCAGAATCTGCGGATAGCACAGAGGAGATTCCAAGGCCACAAGTCACATGACTTGTACTCAGAAACCAGCATGGCTCAGCCTCTCCATTTTCTCATTAAAAAATGGGGTGGGAAGGTGGCCATCCATCAGGCAAAGTATGAGGAGGACGATGAAATGGGCCTCGTGGAGATTTCTGTCCCCGCCCTGGTGTGGCCCTGGCCTGGAGTGCTCAGACTGATTTGGGCAGGGGTTGGAACTCAGCTCTGAGAGAGCGTTGACCAGGGGCAGCACCATCAGGACCTTGGACAGCAGCTCAGTGGCCAGGATTCCAGGGCCACCTCAGGGCCCTGGGGAAGGTCAGGACTGTGGAGGATGCTTCAGCAAGTGCCTGGGCCCCTGGGGGCAGTGCTGCCCACCGGTTGGTTATCTCTTTCTGACCACACCTTTGCAGCTTTGCTCTCAGAAGCAGAGGCTGGGGAGGGTGGACCAGCTGGCCTGACAGAGGAGGTCCAACCCAGGGCCTGGGGACTCCCACGTGTGGCAGCCAAAGCCATTGGGCTTCCACATGGTGCTGCAGCTTGGGGACCTACCTGGCCATGTGCCCAGGGGGGAGTCAGCCTGGCACTGGGAGAGGGCCTGTGGGCCTCGTGGGACAAGACTTCCTGCTCTAAATGGGTCCCAGCCAACACAGAGGGTGGCTGCGCTCTTGACATTCAATCTTAAAATACAACGTAGGCTCCAGAGAGAGGTGCCTGTTTGTCTCGACCAATCAGCTATGGGGGGGCCGAGGCCATAAGGAGCTCGCTGCAGACACTTGGAGGGAGCAGGCCCTTAAATGGCCGGGAGCCATTTCCATCTTGTTGACAAACACATGCTACAAGACAGGAAATCACCCTCCTCCTCGGTGCCCATTTTATCTCTTTTTAATTGCTGCCGGATAATAAATTACAGTGCAGAGTCCATTAATTAAGCTAACGCTGTCCATGGAACACCAGCTCCTTCTTTGGGGAGATGCCTGGTTCCAGGAGTTCTGATTCAGCCTGCGTGTCCACAGCACTTAGGGGTCAGTCGAAAGACACCAGGGCACATGCCAGGCTTGGAAGGAGCACGTGGGAAGGGGCACCCTGACGAGCCAGCAGAGGGACTCCTGCCTGGCAGCCAGAGTGCCATGCTGAGGGTGAGTGCTTAATTCAGAACATGTGGTGGCACCGAAAGCCACATTAGACTCACTTTAAAAATCAGCTCATGGCACGCGACCAGGGCTATTCACGAGCGTTCTTCCCTGAATCAGTGGTCGGGGGCAAGGGGCAGCCTAATTTGGCTTGTTGTTCCATAATCAGCTAATGGCAGGCGCACACATTTGGAGAAGCTCTGCACGCAGGTGGAATTGGTGAAAGATGAGTCCTAGTGATTTCCCAGCAGAGGCTGGCGCTGTGCTCACGGAACACCAGCAGGACAGGCAGCCTGGGCACCTGGCTTCCGCCTTCTGGGCAAGGGAGGGGTGTGGCCATCTCTGGGGTGAAGGGTCCATTCCATCTCTACCTAGGCATCCTTGCTGGAGTTCAGCAGGTGCTGAGAGGGAGGACCCAGAGGAGGGAACAAAAGAGGAAGAGAGGCCCTGGAAAGATGGGTGCGTGTGGCCAGGTTCTCAAGGGTCCTCCCCAGACCGTTGGAGGGTGTTCTGGGCAGCCAGGGAGGGCGGTGGGCAGGGAGGAGGTGGCCACAGGACCACAAGAGACAGTTGTGGCCCCCCTCAAGTCCTGGTCCTCAAGTCAGCCCAGGCTTCCTGAGTGGCTTAGAGAATTGTCCCCTGAAGTGCCCAACACAAGAAGAGACTGCTTAGAACCACGGGGACGCTCGGATTTCTGGGGGTGTTTAGGAGAACATCTCTCCCCTTCCTCATTCACAGAAGGTGGCTTCTTCAGGCTGCTTTGTGATTATGCAAATATCTACCTGAGGGAGTCTCTTATTATGCCATGGTTCCTAGGACTCAGTCCAAGTGCCACCTAGCAGAACATGTATCTGTACATCCTAAACTATTTCCTGATGGCCCGTGACATGCCAGGCGTCCTCCTGGATATGTAGCCTGTGGGATTTGAAATGTCCCTTAGAAAACTCCTGTGTTGATCTCACGGTTCCCAGTGTGGCCCGGTTCAGGGTAGGGGTTCTAGGAAGGGCCATAGCCTCACGGGTGGGACTAATCCAGCTGACAGGTTGACAATGGGAATGGACTCCTGCGTAGTGACTGTAGGCAGATGAGTGGGGGTAGAGAAAGCGGGTCATGGAGGTGTGGCCTGGGGGCCATCTCTGTCTCTGGTCCCTTCCTCTCTCTCTCTCTCTGCTTCCTGGCTGTCAGCGGAGTACCTTCCCTCCACGCCCCTCTCCTATGTTGCTTTTGCAATGGACTCAGCCAACGTGGACAGAACCTCTGAGACTGTGAGTCAGATCCTTCCTGCTCTAAGCTGTTTCCTCAGGTGTTTGGGTCACAGTCACTAAAAGCTGACCCATGCAAAGCCTGAGAGTTAGGTGTTCTAAAAATGAATCCTGGCATATCCCCAAATATGGTCAAGTCTAGTGAGGTCTCCAGGTGGCATCACCCGAGGGCAGGCCCAGCTGCCTGCTGCCTGCACTGGAGCTGTGGGCATCGTGAAGATGGTGCAGGAGAGCCCTGCCTCCTGCCTCTTGTCCCCTCCCCTCGGGTCCTCCTGGTCCAGCACCACCAGTCCCCTCTTCTGTGGCTCTCGGTTGGCGGAATCATGTTTAAAATTTACGACTGTCAAGGCTGATGGCAGGTTTGGATGAGTCTTCTCCCTGTCTTGGGAGAGTCTCTGCTGAGCTCTGTGTCCACACACACACACACACACACACACACACACCACTGGTGAGTGCTAAGCCGGCAGAGGCAACCCCGTCTTCTGCCTCCAGTGGAACCTGGAGGTTCGTCTCTTGGCCCCTCTGGCTGCCTGTGTGCTCCCTGGAAATGCTTCTGAAACACGGTCCTCCTGCCCGGGAAGCACTCTGCTCCTGCACCAGCACCCACGGTCCAAATGAATGTCAGTCTCAGGATGGACACGTCCATCAGCTTCTCAGGAGGGAAGCGTCTCATTTCTTCCAAGCTGCAGCCAGGCCTTTGGGTCATGGCAGCGTGTGCACCTGCGGCACCCCTCTGCAGACCAGCAGGGACTCTGAATTCATTCACAGGTCCTTTCCACAGGACATGCACACTGCCCTCTTAGCATCTGCTGACATAACTACTTGTGAACCCACTCCCTGCCTCCTATGGGAAACAACCAGAAAGCCCCCACCTTGTGGAATCACAGAATAGGGACAGTCACCCAAGTACAGGGCAACAGGAGTCCCCAGAAGTCCCACAGAGCCCCGTGGGCTGGAGATTCCAGTCCTTCTTGATCAGAGACACGCTCCTACCTGCGGTCCCCAGCCGTGGCACGGGTACAGTATGGCTGTGTGGTTCTCCAGCGGCCCCTGGTCCAGGCAGACGTCCTTGGCCTTGTTGTTGCGAAGCTGCAGGGACAGAGAAAACACGGCCATCAGAGCTCTCCTGGTGGGGCTGCTCCCCACTCCGTCCCCAGCACCCCACCGCCGAGGGGCATGCAGTTCCGACGTCAGGCTGGGAAGGCCCCACCTTAGCAGGAGGAAGTCCTCCTGTGCCTGTGTCCTGGGTGCCAGCCCGGCTCCTAACTCCTCTGTCCACAGCATACGGGAGCTGAGGGGACTTTCTGTAAGGAACTCTGGTCACCCACCTGAGGTTCAAGGCACCTCAGGGAGGAGTCAGGCAGGGACAGACATCCTAAGTGAGCCTCAGCACTGACGCTGGTTCAGTAGCCCTGGGACGCAAGGGCTGGCTTCTCAGGCCATTACTGGCAGGAAAGCCAAAAACTAAAACTAAAGAACAAGCAACACCTGGCTACTACGAGAAGCCCTAGCAACGTGTTTCTGCATACCCAGAACCATTTCCTGATGGCCCGTGACGTGCCAGGCACCCTCTTTGGTGCCTAGAACTCACTTGTGGAGGAAATAGATGAGGTCCCCAAGGACACCCTGCTCCTGGGCACATCTCCTTGGGGTGTGCGAGGCCCTCTCCAGCGCAGACCTCCAGGCCCATCACACCACCTGCCACCCAAGGACCACAGCAAGAGGGCAAAGGGACAGGCTGCAGCCACCTCCAGGTGCATCCAGGGTCCTCTGGGTGCATCTTCCACAGACCAACCTAACCATATGAATCAAGATGGCGGGCAGGAGGACCCTACCTGTGCACCCAAATCACGTCTAGGCCAACAAGTGAGCGGAGCTTAAAACTGCTTAAAAACCATCCTTATGGTTATAAGAGTAACATCCTCTCGGTAGGGCACTTTGGGCACACAGAAAAGAATAATGGTGTTGGCAATCCTTCATGGTCCTCCACGGTCTTCCACGGACCTTCACAATCCTTTATGGTCCTTTACAATCCTTCAGAATCCTCCATGGTCCCCCAAGGTCCTACATAGTCCTCCAAGTCCTTCACATCCTTCATGGTCCTTCATGGTGCTTCACAGTCCCTCACAGTCCTCCACAGTATTCCACAGTCCTTCACAATCCTCTACGGTCCTTCCCGGTCCTCCACAGTCCTCCATGGTCCTCCACGGTCCTCCACGGTCCTCCATGGTCCTCCATGGACCTTCACAATTCTCTACGGTCCTCCACAGTCTTTCCAAGGTCCTCCATGGTCCTTCACAGTCTTTTGAAGGTTCTCCACGGTCCTCCAAGGACCCTCACAGACTTTCACAGTCCTCCATGGTCCTTCACAGTCCTCCACAGTCCTTCATGGTCCTCCATAGACCTTCACAGTTCTTCACGGTCCTTCACAGTCCCTCATGGACCTTCATGGTCCCACATGGTCCTTCATGGTCCCACATGGTCCTTCATGGTCCCACATGGTCCTTCACAATCCTTCACAGACCTTCATGGTCCCTCATGGACCTTCATGGTCCCTCATGGCCCCTCAAAGTCCCTCACAGTCCCTCACGGTCCCTCACAGACCTTCACGGTCCCCCACAGACCTTCATGGTTCCTCATGGTCCTTCACAATCCTTCATAGACCCTCATGGTCCCTCATGGACCTTCATGGTCCCACATGGTCCTTCATGGTCCTCCATAGACCTTCACGGTTCTTCACGGTCCCTCACGGTCCCCCACAGACCTTCATGGTCCCTCATGGTCCTTCACAATCCTTCATAGACCCTCATGGTCCCTCATGGTCCCTCATGGACCTTCACGGTCCCTTGTGGTCCTTCACAGTCCTTTAAGACCTTCAAGGTCCTTTGTGTACTTCCATGGTCCTTCACGGTCCTTCACACAGTCAGTCAACCCTCCCATTTTTGGACAACTGCATTTTGTTTGGCTCTGGCTGGGAAGAGGGACCCTATACACAAAGCTTTAGTCATATTTCCGATTTTGAAAGGATAGAGGTAGGTTCTTAGGACTGGATTACAGTGCCGAGGGTACGGACACTGCAATGTTCCCAATAAGCTGCTCAGAGGGAGGCTTCCCATCCCCTCGTCCTCCCAACCACAGGCCTGCAGATGCTTATCCACGTGCCAGTTTAAAGTATTTTAAGAGGGAAGAAACAAATCCTATTTTCATATGTTTGCTATTAACATCGGAATGTCTCATGTTTTGAGAATTGTGTATTTCTCCACTAGGATCTTAAGTGGTTTAACTATAGATTCGTAACAGGTTTTATATATTAAGGACATAAATGTTTTTATGTTATATTTGTTCCACATAATGATTTCAGATGGCCAAGCTTTTAACTTTTATTCTAATATTTATGCAATTAATCTATCACACGGTAATTGAATATTTATTTATGGAGGGCCTGGTCTGTGTCTGGCACTGTGCTGAGTTTCATGAACAAGACAACACAGTCCCCATCCTGTGGAGGTCCTTGTGTGGAGGGCAAGACACACAGGAGGGGTGAGTGACCTGGTCAGGAGGCCCAGCCCTGCTGGGGTTCAGAGAAAACCAAGCTGAGCTCGGGAGGACACCCGGAAGGGGCTGGGTGGCATTGGCCCCCTCCCCACTGGAGAGGACCTCGCTGCCAGGGCCACACCTCTGAGGGCCAGTCCCTCTCCCGTGGCAGAGCCGCCCCCTCCCCACGGACTCAGCCCAGGGTGTGGCCTGAGTTACCTCCCCGTAGGCCACGGTGTTGTTGTATCTCCTCATTTCCGGGTAGACGTGGTCCAGGTACCACTGGAAGTTCTTACACTTCAGACTCTTCCTTAGGGCCCTCCTCTCGGAGACGTCGCCGATGTCGATCCCCGGGTTCTGGAAGCAGAGGAGAGAAGGGGCGTCAGCCACTGGAGCAGGCGCAGGGCCCCCTCTCCGAGGAGCTTTCTGGGAGGGGAGGGAGCCCATGGGCTTGCACAGCAGTGGCCTTAGGGGACCTGCCTGAGGCCCTACACACACACACACACACACACACGCACGCACGCACGCACGCACACACACACCCACCCCGCTGGGAGGGTCCCGTCCCAGGGGTGCTCAGAACCCTGCAGTGGGAAGCCCAGACTGCTCCCTGCTCTTCCTGGGGAGAGGCTCCTGAGAGGCGCTGATGCGGGCACCCACCTTCCCTCTTCTCTTCCCAGGAATGATCAGAGCCAGTTATTGGAGGGATTATTTGATTAAGGCAAGAAAACAAATGCCTGTAACCTCCTCCTGTCTGTCTTTTGCACACACGTGTGGCTTTCCTTTGTTGGCTCCTGGTGAAGCTCATTATACGCAGAAGGGAAAATAATTTCCCATTGCAAAGCTCGTAATGACGCTCTAATGAATAATTCACTCTGCTTTTACAGAAATGAACCTGTAATGGGCTGCTGCGCGCTGACGGGGAAATAAAGTATCTGGAACAGGACCCACAGTCCTACCCAGGTGGCCGCAGATCAGTGGTGGCAGGAGGCTTGCCCCTCCAGGGAGGGCGGTCAGGTGGCACTTGGGGGCAGAGCAGAGGGTTCAGATGATTGCACTAACATTTCTTTAGCAGTGGGACATTGATTTTAAAGAAAAATTCCTTTAAAGTCAACTCACCCAATCCCAAGGCAAACACGAGCAGTAACATTTAACCCTTGGTTTGAATATACTAAGCATGATTGATGAAGACGGTCATATTTAAAACCATGATGGGGACCCTCAGTATTGGGGACCAGTAATCCAGTAGCCCCCCATCTGTGACTTCAGTCTCTTGCAGTTTCACTGAACTGTGGTCAACCACAGTCCACATAGACTAAAAGGAAAATTCTGGAAATAAGCAATTCATGTAATTTCAAGTAACTTTTATTACAATGTGTTGTTATTATTGTCCTGTTTCATTATGAGTTATTTTTGTTTACTATGCCTAAGTTATAAATTAAACTTTTTCATAGGTGTGTATGTATAAAAAATAATACATACAGGTTGAGTGTGCTTTATTTTAAATGCTTGGGACCAGTGTAAAGTCCTTGCTTAGCATCTAGATGGACATCTTAAGTGACAGCCACTATTTTAAGAAAAATTTCGCTTTCCAGTTCAAGGGCGTTTCTGGGAAAGGCTCACCACCCCTCATACCAACACTACCCTTAACCAGAGGCATTAGGACCCTCCAGGTTCTAATCCCTGAGCCTCCCCCATAAAAGCCCCAAACCCCAAGCCTGTGTTGCCCTCTCCATCTATGGAGAGAGGGCCTCTATTGGTCAGCTCTGGCAATAAACTCTGGTGTCCATGTCTGCCTGGTCTCCATCTTTCATTTCTCACTAGCCCGTCTCCTGGTCCTTGCTTTCCTTTCAACCAGCATTCAGGGTTTATTCAGATTTTGTAATATTCACATAAACTTTCCTGGCTGACCATCTCTACTCTGCAAACTGCAAACCTAAAATGCACCAGGAAACATTTTGAATGTCACGTCCGTGATCACTATGGATGCTCGGCCTGTGTGGGTTCAGTACTACAGTTGGTTTCAGGTGCCTGCAGACATCTCCCCCATGGACGGGCAGGGGCACAGTGATGGGGGCACTGGACTGGAGGCACCATCAGCTCCCCTGACTCCAGGCCACACCCCCAATCTAGATCCATCTATACAGAGGGACGATGACTGACATTCCACAGACCCCGCAGGGCTGCGCAGAGGGTCCCATGGAGACGAGGGGTGCACAGCCTGCACATGCCTTGTGGTCATGACCTGAACACAGCACACAGGCCTCACGGAGCCACCGTCTCCTCATCTGTATTATGGCCATCCTAACAGCCCGGGACAGCCTAGCTGGCCAAGCACTTGCATTTCCTGGGGCCACTCCAGCCTCACGCCCTCCTCCCAGGCCTGCTCTAGGGATGGACAGGGCTTCCTGCGCCAGGCCCTGCTCTGGCACATCCCTGTACTAGTGCACCTAGTTGCAGGATCACCTTGGGAGGGAGGCCTTGGTATCACCCCCTTTACAGTGGAGGAAATGAAGGTGCAGAGGAGACGCGTGGACTTGGGCAGCCCTCGTAACTCTTAAGTGACAGCTGGGACTTAAACCAAGCTGGAGCACAGCCTGCAGGACTGTGGCATCAGGAGTTTCCCAGGCCAGATTCTAGCAGAATGTGGAAGAGAGGGAAGAGGCTGGCCAGGCGTGTGGCACCAAGCAGCTGGCGCTCTGGGGGAGAGCAGTGAAGGCAGATGAGGGTGCAGTGCCAAGGGCTTGGGCAAGAGCCTGCTGGACACCATGTGTGGTCAGGAGCAGGACCACTAGATTAATGCAATAAGACCGGGATTAACACATAAGACCCTCTGATCTTTGTAAGTAGATTTATTTCTGTGGCGTCTGTCCCCAGGCAAAGCAGGGGATCTAAGCCTCTGACATCTGTGAACCTTCCAAAATGCATTCATGATTTCCCACAGGTGACATATTTCTGGCTCACTAAGGGAATTTGTGATCTGAACAGCAAGGCTCACTGTCCCGGGGTGGTGAGAAGGGACCTACCTCCAGGGGCAGGTTCCATGCTATGTACACGTGAGACTTGTAATCGTCCATCCAGACCTCAGCCACCCGGAGAGCGTTCCTCTTAGTGTAGAAGCCAATGTTGCTGTTGTACGGCTTCTTCTTCCGCTCAATGTGAGCCACCCGGGAGCAAGGCAGGACCTCCATGCTGCCCCCACAGAGCCACACCTGGAGATAAAAACATTTCATTAGGTTGAGACAGGAATTTTCAGAGGCCTCTGCTCTTCCCCCAGTCCCCAAAGCAATGGTTCACCAATTTAGTGTGAGTGAGAAATACATTTTATTATACAAAGCCCCTGAGAGTTCAACATGGGTTTGTTATTGCAGCATAGCTTAATCTAAGCTGACTAAAATACACAGAAAAGAAGGTTTGGAGAATTCCTACAGACACAATAGTTCAGGATATAAAGCCCAGCTCTGCATAAGAGAGCACCATAAGCCTAAGACTTTTTTTTAAGTTCTCACTAATGCACAACTGGCATCCATGAAGGCTTTCTTCATCTGGCTGAGCTGTGCCCTGCCAACCCAGAAAGGAAAATTTAAAGTAAAAAAAAAAAGACCCTCTTGATCCATATCAATGCAAGAAGTGTACATTGTGCTGTTAATATGCTCTGTTTTGGAGACCCAAGGGCGTGGATGCCAGGCCTTCTGGAAACATCTCCCAGTGCCATCCCAGGCAGAGACCACTGTTGTGCTGGGGTGTTCAGATGGAAGGCTGAAAGGATGGTTGCTTTTGAGGGGTTCAAAAGCTCAATGAAGTGGGACTTATCATCCTCTGCACGGATACAGTGGGCATCCTGGTTCAAAGGGCCCTGCTCCCTGTGGGAAGGGCCGGTGCCCTCTTGTGGTCCAGGCAGGAAAACCTGAGTATTTCTGAGCATTTCAAGCCGGGCTAGATTTTGAAAATGAGTTTCTGGGTACCAGTAGAGAAAAGAGGAGGAAGACAGAGAGGCTTGATATTGTTACGGCTCCTGAACTGATCTAAGGATTCAACACAATCCCTGCTAATACATCAGCCTGGTTCTTTGCAGCCGATCCTAAAATTCATTTGTAAATATGAGGGACCCAAAATAGGTTTAAAGATCCTGAAAGGAACAAAGTTAGAAAACTTCACTTTCCACTTTCAAAACTTAACACAAAGCTACCACAATCCAGAGGGCATGGTTTTGGCCTAAGAAAAGACCCACAGACCAGTGGGATAGGAAGGAGAGTTCAGAGACAGACTCTCCCAAGTGTGACCAATTGACAGGAGTGCTAAGATCATCCAGTGGGACGAAGAAGAGCTTTTTCAACAAATGAGCTGGGACAACATGAGGAAGAACGAATATAGACCCTGCCTCGAATCACACAAATCACAATGGATCAAAGAACGAAATGTAAGAACCACAACTATAAAATTTAAGAAGAAAATATAAGGATAAAATCTTATGTCCAAGGATTAGGCAAATGCCCCACAGCTGATAAATGGAGAAATAAACGTGGCCCATCCATAGGCTGGAAGATTATCTGGCGGTAAAATGGAATGCTGCCCTCCTCTACCACGGGGATGGGCCTGGACATCACGTTAGGTGACAGAAGACAGGAAAGACCACGTTGATGATCCCGTTCCCTTGAAAGGCCCCGGGTGGGAAAACCGGTGGAGACAGAAAGCAGACAGGTGACCCCTGGGCTGAGAGTGGCCCTGGTAGACGGGTGACCGCCAGTGGTGTGGGTGGCCTTTTAGGATGATGAAGTGTTCAGACACTCATTGTGGTGAGGGATCGCATAACTCTTTGAAGACACTAAAAGCCACTCAAGTGTGTACATTGAATGTGTGACTCGCCCTGGTAAGTGACGATCTCCACATGTGACGGTCTCCACAAAGCTGTTGCCAGAACAAACAGGTCTGCGGAGATTGGAGCGAAGGTCATGGGGTGCGTTTCAGGCTGGGGGCTCCGGTGGACAGACAGTGGAGGAGCGGAGCTCTGAGGGCAGGTTAGTGCACAGGGGCCACAGACACAGGCACACGAGGGGCCTCAGCAAAAGCTGAGACTGTCTTGTAAAAGGAGGTGCCAGGTGGGGACAGAGTCCACAGCCAGGTGATCAGCACCAAGTCCTCCACAAGCACCTGGACCAGGGTCAGGCTTGTCCCAAAGCTGGGGTGTGGCCAGGCCACTGAGAAGGACCGAGAGAGGTGAGAGAGGCCGGGGCCGGTGTCAGATGCCGAGCCTCTTAAGCAAGAAGAGGGAGGGGATGAGCCAAGCGAGGGGCAGGCAGCTCTGCAAGTCCATCCTGGGTGGCAGGGACATCGGCCTCCTGACCTGGGCACACCTGACACACCCACAGGCACCAGCTCAGAGCTGCCCTGCTCTTCCTGCTGAGCTGGGAGGGTCACCCCACATGCTTGGTGCTCTGAAACTATGTCCACTGTTGGGAGGCCAGCATCCTGGAGGGAGCGGCCAGGTCAGTGCAGCTGGCCTGGACATCTAGGAATTGCCACCGCCTGCAGGGCATTCCTGTCCTCATCCTGCCTGCTCTGCCAGGTCCACGGCTCAGCCCAGCATCTCCACAGACTCCAATAGCATTTGGTGTCCTGAGTGTGATAAGTGGCAGCAGCGCACCTTGTGTGGGACAGAAAATGGCTCCGATGGACACTCGCACTGTCAGTCCTCTGGAGGGCCAGGGGAGAGGCAGACCAGAGCTAAAATTAGAAAGAAAAGGTAAAAGAAGAAAAGGAAAAAGAACCAGGTGCGATGGAGTGTGTGCGGGAGGAAGAGAGGCCCACCTTGGGCCTGAGAGGCAGCCTTCACCCCTGCTGCCCCATCGTCCACTTCCAGTGTGCCCGCCTGCTCCAGAGCCCAGCCCAGGACAGCGAGCTCCCTACACTGACTGGGAAACCCACTAAACCCAGCAGAATGCTCGGAGGAGAGAGGATGAGGTGTGAAGCCGTAGCCCTGTCAGTGGATTAACTCACATAAACCGGTCAACTGGGTGGTAACTGTAGGCAGCTGGGGTGCGGCAGGGGAAGTAGGTCACCAGGGATGTGCCTTTGGGGGTGACATTGTGTCCCTGGCACCTCACCCTCTGTTCTGGTCATCTTGATTTGTCCCTGCACCACCTCCTGCCATGGTTTCCCTCCTGTCCCAGCCCAGAGCCGTGGAGCCCACTGACTGGACTGAGCCTCTGTAGCCATGAGCCAAAGTAAACTTTTCCTCCTCTAAGTTGTTTGTGCTGGGACTTTGGGTTACAGTGACAAAAATGTGACTAACCCTGAGGGAGGCAGAACCCTGAGTCCAACCACATGCTACAGCAGGGGGCCACCATTCCCTGATGGACATGGAGGGCACTGACCCCTCCTAACCAGGGAAAGTAGACTGGGGCCATGGACCCCTTAGTTTTCCTTGCCAACACCTTGTCCCTCTCTCTGTAGAGTGGGCTGGTGCATTCTTCCTGCACTGTGAGCAGAATGATGAGGGGACGGATGAAGGGCCTGGGGTGGTAGGGCTGAGTGGGCATAGTCCCCAGGGAAACCCTGTGGACCTTTGGCAGCACCAACAACTCCTCAGACTGGGAGGCCAAACGCCTCTGCTACAGAAAGCCCCGGAGCAGCAAGATACTGCAGGGGAGACAGAGGGAGCCCAGGACCTAAGGGGCTCTCAAGCGCTGGGGCCTCTGCTCTGGGTTGGCTGAGGGGTCACTGGCCGGCCATGCCTAAGTGGCAACCAGCCACCGGGAAGTCATGCAACTCTAGAAACAGCTATTCGTGAACTTATGTATTCATCAGAAACTTCCCATTCTTGGTATGGGGGTGTAACTCCGTGGGAGAGCGTGGGCCTGGCATGCACGAGGCCCTGAGTCTGATCCTCAGTTCCAGAAAAACAAACACATTCTCCTCTCCAGTGCAGGGGATGGGAATGGAGAGTGTCATCAGCCAAAATTGCTGCTCTCACGAAGCTGGTGATCCATCAAGGGAAACACATTCATGAAGAGCAGAGGAGAGGTTCTCAAAGTGGACTGAAAAGTCTTTCAGCCTGAGCTACAGGTCAGCTGGGGCCAAGATGGAGAAAGCACTGGTCCCACCTGGGATCTGACCCACTGAGTGCTCTGAGAGCATGGGCGGGGGCTCCCGCAGAAGGGGGGTGGTCTCCTGCAGACAAGAACCAGCTACTGGCCTCCCAGTGCAGCTGCTCCCAAGGAAGGGTCCCGAAGATCTGTTCTCTAGGTTGGAGTTTATCAGCTCCAATGGCAAGCTCCTGGACAGAGGGAAGGAAAGAGCACAGGAGCTGACCCACTGGAAACCACTCCAGGCCAGGCCCCCCCAAGAACAGGACCATGGCCTCCAGGTGGGCTAGAGGAGGCCAGAAAGAGCCCACCCCAAGCTCTGGGACCACCCCTGCTGGGAAGGTGGGGTGGTGGTCCTACATAGAGGGCAGTGAGCCACCAGGAAGTGCAGAGACTCAGGACACAGTGAGCACTGTGTCATCAATGGGTTTGTTCATCAAAAATTATCCATTTGGGGGATGGGGGTGTAGCTGAGCAGCAGAATGTGGGCCTGGCGTGCGAAAGGTCCCGGTATGGGCCGAGTAGTCTCCAGCATGGGCCAGGTAGAGGTGGGGGTCCGTTCCACTCTCCTACGTGGGGGCTGGAACGGAGACTGTCATCCAACAGAACTGCTGTTCTCGTGGAGCTGACGATGCGGCAGGGACGTGCATTTGCTAATAATCGCAAGCAGAGATGCAGCACCCCGAGACGGAGCTGGCTTCCAGGAAGGATGTGGCACACTGGGAGGAGAACCAGTGCTGGACAGGAGAAGCTTCTCTGCCAAAGGGCCACCCAGGTACAGTCTGAAGGGCTGGGCTGGGCTGGGTGGAGGAAGGTGGTCAGCGTCCCACTCACAGAGGAGCTGGCCAGGACTCTGGAGGAGGGCGCTAGGGGCAGCAGGTGGGATCCAAGATGGTGGCAGCAAGTGTTCCCAGGCTTCTTTGCAAGGGGACTTCTTCTCCTCTTACAGAACCCTTGGACCCATCTGTCCATCCCCCCATTGTTATCAACTTGCAGTGTTCACAGAATACAGCAGAAATGACATATCACGCCATCAAGGCTGAGCTTAGGAGGCGTGGCCAATTCCACGTCTTCTCTCCTGGAACCCTGAGACCACCCTGCTGTGAGGGAACTGAGGGTCAGTGAGG